AATATTTATGGTACAAAATTATTATCATTAGTTAGATCGTTGAATCTATTTTTATAATAAATTTATTTGGAGTACAAATGTTGCACGATTTTTTATAAATCTAGTCAAACTTACGGTACATTTAAAACCAAAAGCGATAGTTATTTAGGATAAAGAGAGTACATACATGACTCATTCACTGCTGCTGCTGCAAGACTGAACAACACATGGAAATCAGTGACAAGGATATCTTTTTAGTTTTCAAGGAGACATTGCATCTCTTTTTAGAAGCATGATATAATGGAGATATCTATGCCCCTTAGAAAGCTTTGACTAAAAAAAGTCGATAAGTAGTTGTTAGTCGCCTCTTACTATAAGTGCACTCAAGCCCAATTTGTAGGTTTTGGTGATGATGACCAAATATTTAAAGGACTAGTAAGATTTCTTGAGATGACAAGTAGGTAAAATATTTATGAGGATAATACATAAAATGGTGGAGCCCCAATTACAAAAGGACATGGTGTTGGACTCCAAAGGTGTTTAAACTCTTTTATATTTTGAATTTGAGTATAGAAAACGCCGCACTTTAAAGGGATACAATGCACAAGCTTCAATATGCAACCAAATGCTCATTTGCCCACCAAACAAATCCTTAAATCAAGCCAAGCCATCCTATGCCTAACTCTTAACCCTCATTGCTTCATTGCGGACAGACCGCTGCGGGCTTAAGGGCTAGTTGGGAAAGGGGAAAGTATTTATATCTCTTTTTCTTCCTCCCAATGGTTATCACGACTAGACCTTTGCTTAGAATTTCGTATAAGCTCTCTCACTCCATTGGAGGCCTCTAATCTCTCTCCCTTGATTCCCGAAAGGATCAAGATGCTCAAGAGGGGGGAGTGAATTGGGCTAATTTTAAATTTCTTTGCAATAATTAAACCCTACTATTAGCCCAATTAACCCCTTGTGCCTAGAAAGTGTTTGTTGTGACCGACGCGTCTGATCAGTTCACCCTTCAATCCAAGTGTTTGCTTGTGATCGGATGTGTCCGATCGTGATTTTCCTCTCGAACTCTTATTTGAGTCGACGGACACGGCACCCAGTGATCTGGTCACTTATCCTCAAATATCCGTCCGGCTGCACTTACGCATTTATTTCACCTTGATTAAATGAACTGACCGGACCTCGCGATCAGTGTCCCACACACATCAAACCAAATATTCCCACAAAGATTTGACCTCCATTCACTTCCAACTCTAATCATATATGAATGAAGTTAGCTCCACTGATCTAAGGGCTTTTTTAGAGCTACCTAGTGTTAGATTTAGCAAGTGTGCACCACACCTAACCCCTTCTAGACTTACCTAGGCATGCTACCCAGCATACCCCCTTTAATAGTACTGCACAAAAGGAAAAACAAAGTTCTAAACTACTCTAAGTGTCTCTTCAACACTAAACGACACTTAGAACTAGTCCATCCTTAACCTTGTCGTCCCATCCTTTGAAAACCGAAATAATTTCATCGTAGAGGGCATGACCACCATGATTGCCCAATCATCTCCATTACGCGGTGACCTAAACTAATTGCCTCTCGCAAAACACACGTTAGTCACAAAGAATCACATATTGTCATTAATCACCAAACCCAACTAGAGGCTAGATGCTTTCAATCTCCCTTTTGGTGATTGATGACAATATCACCTCAGTATGTGAAAGAGTTGAGGTTTTTAACATGCTTGGTTCATATAATTTTTTTCAATAAGAACAAAGAGTTAGTGCTTATATGACTGCTTCAACATAATATACTCCAGGTAGATATGAAATAAGCATGAGTACAAGTAATAAAGCTCATTTGCATCGAGTAAAACGCGGGAAGCAAAGCAAATGAGCATAACACAAATGATATGACATATAAATAATTCAAAGTAGAGAGCACACATGTCACATATCACATAATATCATGATCGCGTAGATATCACTATCACATAAATATAGTTCGATGCATGAAAGTAAACACACGAATGCATAATAGTGTATCGTTATTATAAAAAGCCAAATATAATAGATAGGCTAATAGATAAATTCCCTAAATATGGCGCCTCCCTAAGACTAGCATACTCGATCCTTCTCCCCCTTTTGGCGCCAAACACCAAAAACTAAGGGTCGGTCGGTGGGGTGCCTACGAACGAACGCAGTCGGGCTACTGAGGTGCGAGGAGCGGTAGCCGAACCGGTGGTGCCATCATCATCCGATCCCTGAAGCTACGAGTCAGTTCGACCCTCTATAGATGGAAGCGACGCTGAAAGCGGCCTGGGTCTGATCAGGGGACTGGTGTGGCCTGTGATGCTGTTGTGTAGGATCGACGACAAGTGGCTCTGATGAAGCAAATCAAGAAGGGAGCATTTCAGTCTCTTGGTAGGTGCAACTATAGAAGGACTCGAGACATGTAGATATGGTGGAGTAGGCTGCCCCGCATCAACTCATCAAGGAAGTACCAAGGCTCTAAAACTGTAGTCTCTAGCACAAGCAACGAGGAAGTCTGAGCCAGTGTGAAGCCCGTCTAAAAAGGTGTGAACTGTGGGGTTGGCACTAGCGAGGCAAACCAATGGGACACCTGCTCTGTAGGAGAAGGAAACTATGCTGGTGGCTATCCCTGACTCTAAAGCCCACTTGGGTCAGAAGCTAGAGTCATAAGTAGGTGGTGGCAGGCCGACCAATCTAGGGTGAAGGCTGCATGTGGAGCCCCAATAAAGAGTCAAGCCACAACATGCCGCATAAAACCCAAGTAGTTGTTGTTGCATGAGAGTCGCTGTTTATGTATGGCCTCGCGGCCGGCCGCTATGTAGCCTCGCCGTTGTTGTTGGACCGCGTCAACTGCATTGCTAAAACTCATCCTTCGGCTCAGGTGAAATCAAGGCAAAAAGTAGCGGTGGTCTCCTAGGCTCTAGCGAGCTCGATCCCGCCTCATCCACTCAAGTATAGCAAGTAGAGCGGGTCTGCTGCGGTGCAGTGGAGCCGAATCAGAAGCTAATACTAAATTCATGGTCATGTATCACCGTGGAGGCACCGAGGGATGGTCCTTGTAGTCATCATCCTGAAGTTGTCGCTGGGGTCGCCTCGACCATCCCTCCCGAGCATCAAGCACGCTTCCTCTATAGCTGCAATATCCCCCGATAGTCTCATCCTGCTAGGTTGCAGTCTGGCACCTCTGGACGACCTGCACGGCTAGCTAGGGGTGTCCTCCCTACACTATGGCGGATCATCCGAGTCATGTTGTATGCAGGGAACTCTCGTAGTAGCACCACTGCATTACAAGCATCTCTGCTAGCATCTCAGTGGCCTGCCTCAGATCGTGAATGTAATCCGTGAGCATATAGCAGCTGCCTCATGACCCCTCGAACCCTCTCAAAATAGTATCATCCATCTCTCGATAGAAGGAGATCCCAAATGTCAAACAGGTCTCACAGATCGAGAGTTCAAGAGCTATAATCAGACATGAAGTCAAGCCCTCATGATTAACTTCATCCTTGAAGTGTGGTCCTCCTCTCATAATAGCATCAAGCACTCTAGCAGTTGGGAGTGAGATCACCGGTGTGTCTGCTCGGCCCTCGCCAAAGGCTCAGAAGCAATGGCGGACTAGATCAGAGGGGGGCACAAGACCACCATGAGGGCTGCCTGGGGTGTTGTCATTCTATAGCAAACCCTTATGTAGCCGGATGGGCTGCTCCTCAGCTCCTGAGTATCTCTCCTACCCTAAAGCTCATCAGACTATAATCTCTCAAAGCAAAGTGAATGAATCAGGCTGTGGGTCAATCCAAAGTGTAGCATAGAACTCACGGACCCAAGATGGAACACATATAAGCCTGCTCGTCTCGAGTGAAGTCTCAAGCCTGCAAGTAAGATAGGTAAGGGCGAATATGCTCTCCAAATGCCGCTACAATAGACTCAATGTTGCACACCCTCTCGAGACCTGAATACCGCCTCCACCGCTAAGATATGCATTATAAAAAATCTTCTTGCAAGTGGTGTGTGTAAGCCTCCGGAAGATCGATCATCCCTCCTCCTAAGGGGAACCACTGCCAAAGTCCACAAATCAAACGCTGAACCCGCCTTGGTCGTGGGGCGGCCCTCAAATTCTAGATGAGTCACCCGGAGGTGGACTCCTGCGGGTCTAGGAGGCGGACTAGAACCCCTCCCGCGTGGTTCCTAGCCTCGGTGTGAATGGAGCATCGAGGCACGCACTGCAGCTACAGAATTCATGGCTAAGGTGCCCGTTGTATCTTCCCTGCCTACTCTCCTCCTAAGTCTACCATTGGCCGGGTCAGTATCGCTTTAATCTCCCCCGAGACGACTCTCATCAATCAGGCAACATGCCGTTCCTCCAACCATGGTTGTCCCAGCTTGGACCACCATGACGACGCCAACCTTCCGGATAGTGGCCTCTCTCGAGATGGTGAAAGCCGACCGCAATAACAACACCACCCAAGCACCTCTCTCGTGCTCTGCGCTTCTCCAATCAGGCTGCTCTCCTAACGATTCGATGCAGCATTTCTTGCGCTTTCTT